TGTCAATTTACCGCAAAAGTTGAACACTCATAAGTAGATTCATCAGAAATATCATTTTTCTTGCCAATATTACTTTGTATTTTTCAATATTTTTGTCAATTTCAAGCTAGCATAATAAAATCAAGACTAACAGCAGCTATAGATGGAATATTTTGACGTTCCTCATGCTGCGTAGGATGCGTCACATCAATGCCAATTATAAGGGTTGGCACATCGACGAGATACTTTTGCGTGACGGAATCAGCAACAACACGAGAATTAATCCCTCCAAGTTTCATATTCATTTTCAAGATGATATTGCAACATGTCGCAGGTGAAGGACGTATTACATTTTTCAGAAGAATACACTGCGACATTATTCCGTGTACCATATCACTGCATTCCTTCACCGTTACTGAAAATTACTGTAATCTTACTAAATTTTTGTAATAGAAATCACCCAATTCACACATAGTCAACAACTTTTAACTTGCATTTTCCAATTTTTATCAAAAAATAGTTCTAGCGAACCAATTGGTATTTATATTAATCATGAAATTCCATTGAATAGAAAAGAAATCACTGACGATTGTAGCAAAAGTCACAGCAAATTTTGAACAGAAAGTTTACATTTCTTTGATAAAAATTTAGAGATAGTTTTGAACTCATTTTCGTAAAATTTCGAGCTGAATGAATATGCAAACATTTAAATTGCCATCGTAATGAATCACTGACTGATTAGACTGAAAATTTAGATTTAACTATGGAAATTACTGTAACTAACGGTAAAGATCAGCATTTTTGGCTGGTAAAACAACAATGATGATGTCACACGTAGTTCCTGTTTGCCTATACTCCGTGGCAATTTCGTTGAACATAATTACAACGTCTTCTTTACTTCGACCATACTTCACCAAATCAGGCCAGTTTGGAAATTCCATTCCCATTTGACTTGCCTTTTGAGTTAAGGCTTGACAAAATGTCCTAAATTATGCTGCTATTTAAAAACTACAATGGATAATCAAAAATTCAATCCTTGGGAAAAAAAATTTATATTTTTATCACTATTATTGTAATTTTCATCGCTCTATAATTATGCATTAATTCTAGGAAAACATTCATGTCTGACAACATTATTATTGCTAAATTTTACTTAAATTTTATTCATTTTAGAAAAATTATAACTATGAAGACATACTGCAAGTGGTTTTGCTCACGTGGACTGACCATAGCAATCATCGAATAGCTACGGCAAATAGCCGGTACATAAAGTTGTTGGTTGTCCAAAGACCAAGCTCCATCTTTGGGAATGACCACGGGGTCCTAAAATAACATAATTGCCACTACTTTTAATTGCACTAAAAATAATTATTAGAAGTTTTACATTTCATTCCAAAACTTGGTAAAACTATGCCAAATCTTTTAACCAACCATTCGACGATTATTTTCCCCAAAAAGAATTCGTGGAGGAGTTAAGACGCGAGCAACTGTTTCACACATTTTCGGACTAATTTGCAAACCAAATTCACGTAAAAATGGATCATGTGTGAAGTTTGCTTGTTCACACAGTGAAACGATACACTGTTCACGGGAAACTGCGTCAACAGCTGCGGCCTGAAATAGTAAATATTGTAAGGTTCCAGCTCATCCTTTTTTGAAAATTTAAATCTTCAGAGAGTAGAAATTAATATAAAGAGATAGAACCATGATTTTTCAGCATTTATTGTATAAGAAGGATTATAAAATACTCGAATAATCGCAGAAGTTTGCTTCTCGTTCAATTTTTTGTTACATTTCTGTGGAGTATCCAACACACAAACTTCCAAGGGAAAGTAGATGTTACGAGTCACCGGACCTACGTGAACACACGGTAGTTTTGGATATTTCAGCTCACTGTAACGTTCACTGAAATAATCTGCCACAGTCATACGACGTTCCTTACCATTTTCGTCTTTGCCTTGGAACCTAAAGCACTTCTAGCTAGCTAGTAACATTATTGACAATCACAATGATAAATGATTACTACTTATGAACAAATCAGTACGCTTCACATCTAGTCAAAAATCACGCAATAAAATATTTTACCATAGTTGATCAGCTGGTAGCTGGAGACTGTTGATGCGATAAACGCGGATAACTCCTGCCCGATGCGAAATACGTACTTTAATACCCTTTACAGCATCTCCGAAAATTTTCAATTCGTGACTACTCAAAGAAAAATCTTTGTGCAATTTTTCAGGCTAAAAACACAAGTTTTAAAAATTCCTGACAAGAATTTGAAAATTACAAACGAATTAGGGAAGAAGGCTCCTGAAGGTGCATCTGCAATCTTCAAAATTTGATAAATGAGTTAGTTTAAAATACACTTCTGGTCGATCAAGTTCGACATAAAATTCACTGAAAGAGCTCCTCCTATATAATCGTAGCCGTGATCACGGCGTCGATTAACAGTATGACGTGTATATGATAATGACGTATTGTATGGAAAACGCGATCCACCACCACGTATGATACGTGTGGAACCTGACAAATTAGTTCGTCGGTCGTCTTTAGAATTTGATCGACAATAATGGCCAGATTTTTCATTCAATACATCGCACATGAACTGTACCATTGAAATATGTGCTTTGTAAAATACTGTGTGCGTCACTAGAAATTGATCT